CATAAAAAGGTGTTTGGGTGCCTTACGAACTCTCCAATGATAATAGTTTTCAACGTGTGAACGTTGCTTCGTATCTTCTGGGCGTAATGTGCTGAAGCATTTTTGGACAGAATTGTCACCAGTGATGAAAAATGGATTCTCTATGCAAATATTAAATGCCAAAAACAATGGCTCAGTCCTAGACAAAAAACCACTTCTGACCCCAAAACCTGGACTCCATCCGCAGAAAGTGATGCTTTGCATTTGGTTGGACATCAAAGGAGTAATTCATTTCAAACTCCTCGATCCACAGCGAACTGTTAATGCAGAGATCTATAGTCATCAGAAACGCCCTTCACTCATCAATCGGGAAAGGTGTTCTTCTTCTCCACGACAATGCACGTCCACAAGTGGCACGTTTGACGTAACACAAGATTATGGAGTTGGGTTGAAAAGTTTTCCCCCACCCACCATATTTTCCAGATATGGCATCATCAGATTACCATCTTTTTCATTCCCTGCAACACCATCTTAATGAGAAAACGTATGCAAATGTGGAAGGTGTTAAAGAGGATATCGACATGTTTTTTGCTTCAAAGCCAAGTGATTTCTTTAATCAGGGCATTAACAACTTGATTGTAGGATGGAAAAGCATCAACGATAAGAATGGAGACTACTTCATTTAATAAATGTTTTGTTTTAATATATAAGTTGTTTAGGTTTCTTCATCTAAAGAGAGCAACATTAATTTCCTGATGATATAATATTTTATTACACTGCCTTTAAACATATGATCAAGTGTTGTATTCAAATTGAAAACCTTCTCAGACCCTTAACTTTCATTCAAGAATATTTCAATACAAACTAAATAGGAATTCAGGTTAAATATAATTAGTAGTAAAATTTTAGCTTACCTAATATATTCTCCTGTAGGATCAAGCCTATGTCCATAATGAATGGGTGAGATGCAGTATGTACATTGTAAGATATTTTCAAAAGCAGAACTTGAAACCCACATCCAATTTCCTGCACAAACTGACCAATCAGCATCCAAAAGATATTTAAGAAAAACCTGAAAGTTGGTCAAGAATTAAATTTTTAAACTCTTCCTTTAACACTCATGTATCGAACTAGTAAAAAGGAGAAATAGCATGTGTTCAGGGGGATAGCGTTAATGGTGCACAGTAGTACAAGTACACCACCAACTTTAAAAAATGTTTTATGCATGTTTATGTTTCTTGAAATCTTAATTGCCTAAGGTAGTAGACTATCTACAATTCTGGCCAATGCGGAAGCTTCATTATCACTCCTAATATTCTATTCCTAATGTAGTGACTCTGTAAGCAGCTGGTGCAAGTTCTAACATACAGAAAAATACAATTTTCATATTTAATGTGTTGTCAAAAACATAAGTTTTATCATGTAATCATGTACAACTTTTTGAATTTCTACATTTACGAAAACATATTTGAATTTTGTGACATTTTCATTTTATCTACTGACATTAATCACATTCATATTTATGATGCTAAGAACTGTAATTAGGGTAAATGTTTTCAGGAAAAGCAAGAGTAATTTGTTTTTAGACTTAGACATAGTTCCAACAGGTTGATGGATTTAAAATTTTCTTGACCAACATTTTCATGTGAAATTAGAAAAATTATTAGTTATTTCACAGAAATGTGCTCATGTAGTTCTGTCTCTATAAATAAAGCAAAATAATTTCACAACAAAAGCTGGCCTTCACTTGAAAAATAGTATTATTATTCATAATGATTATAGATTTTAAAAGTTTTCGGTACAACGGATTTGGAATAATTAATAAGAAAACTACCCTAGCCATGTACATTATGCAAAGGATATTTAAACACACACACTCATTCCATATTGATATTTTGCTGTCTTGTGGTACAAAACCCCCCTGACTTTCAACTATTTTCCAAATTCCCTGACCTTTGGGAACCCTGGAGAACGTTTGTTCTTTAATGAAAAAGTTTTGCCTCTTTTTTGTTATGACCCTTTTTTGAATAATTTAGAAACACACTAAGATAAAAATATTTGTTTTATTTAGAATATTTTTCAGTAAAGAAGAATTTTAGGTTTCATTTTCGAGCACCTAAGAACCTATTTAGCTAACAGGCACCCAAATGGTCCCTGTGTCCCTGCTTCTTTTTTTCATATCATAGATGCAGCTAGTGTTCTGGTGCACTACCATTTTAAGGAGTCATCCTACACCCCTGTATTTGTTCATCTCTTGTAGCATAAATAAAACTAATCATTGGTATGTTTAACACATGTAATGCTAGAAGTAACTTTTACTAAATGTAATACTCTCATCTGTATCTATTTTGTATAAAACTAAAAGGTTCTTAACACTCTTATGTTCCATATCCTCTGTTATCTGGATACCGATTAAGAAAAATTATATTTAGCTATTCGTTAAATAAAGTCTACATGACTTTGATAAAAAAATAATTTTAAAGATTTGACTGAGATAATTTATAATAAAACTGTGCTTGATTTCTATGCAATAGCACAATCAAAAGAGTATAAGCTAATTCCAAATCCTTTTTTTCCTTCATGTAGAAAATACCGAAGTTACTGACTTTAAGCCATCTTCCCATGAAATCCACAAATCTCCATGGGTCAGAAAGCAGGCTACAGCATTTCGAGCAACATGATCTATCCATTCTTCTCTTCGTAACTGTCTCATAGCAGCATCAATGAATGGGTATCCAGTTTTTCCAAGTTCCCAGAGTCTTAGATGTTCGTCATTTCTTTGCCTCTACAAAATGAAACATTGTTTCTATTACTGCAGAATTTCAGTTTGTTTTTTTAAGATATTTGTATAAAATGAGTAATAAACAGGTTTATTCAACAAAAGTAAAGTATACAAGTTTATCAGATTACTCATGTTGTCTTTGATTTTATTTCACAAAGTATGAAACCTTGGCAAAGGAAGCTACAAATTATGTTACACATTAGAATTTCAAATAGCCTAAAACTGAGTTAAATTGTAATGTAGATTTAGTAGTTAAATAAATGCTGATATATATCCAATTTATGACATTTGCCAACAAGATTGAGACACACAGTTTTCTTTTTTTTAATATAAATATGTTTTAATATACAAAGAATAATATAATTTACAATAACAGTTATTACACACAAAATAAAGTCTTCTTTCTGGTCTGGAACTTCCTTGATGTCTTATTGAGGGTTCAAGATGAACAAGTTAATTTCGAGTTGATGTACGTATAATTTACTTAATACGGAGCTAGCTAGATCTGTGGGACTTGCTGATCACACGCCAATTACAGGTCGAGCTTGAGTTTTTTCACCACTGAAGTTATATAATGTCTTCATAAAAGAACTAATGTCTAATGCAAATCCACTGAAGTTAAATGGTTTATAATGTTCGAAATTTATAAATGTTCCTGGTCAAATACCTGAAGTTTTCCGATTAATAAGCGTTATTATGATCACAATTATAGCCTGCGAAGTGTATAGCACACCAACTATAGCAAACCAATAACAGACACTGTTTTTTGGCACATTGCTTTGGTTATATTTATAGGTCGTGTGGAGAGTTTCTCAAAATTTCAGTGTTACGTAACAATACTGATGCTAACACTAGTGTTCATGTATACACATATATTGTTGATTCTTACACTTGAGACTCTTCTATAACTTTAGAGAATAGGCGGGAGTTTCACAATACATATTT